ATGTGTGTATGTGTATTTGTGTGTGCATGTGTGTATGTGTGCGTGCGTCTATGTATGTGTGTGCGCATGTGTATATGCCTGTGTGTGTGAATGTGTGTGTGTGTGTGTGTGTGTGTGTGTGTGTGTGTGTGTGTGTGTGTGTGTGTGTGTCTGTGAATGTGTGTACGTGTGTGTACAAGTTTATGAGTGTATGCATTTTTATGCATGTGTATGTATGTATGTGCATACGTGTGTGTTTATGTGTACAAGTTTATGAGTGTATGTATGTTTATATGTGTGTATATGTACATATGTGTGCATATGAGTGTGTGTGTGTATGTGTGTGTGTGTGTGTGAGCACCTGTGTATATATATATATATATACACACACACATATACACACATACACATACACATGCATGCACACATACACACACCCACACAAACACACACGCATACATACACACAGGTGTACACACGCACACACACTCATATGCACACATATGTACATATACACACATACACATACACGCACACATACACATACACACTCACACTCACACACAACACGCACACACACACACAACAAAACACACACACGCACGCGCACACACATATACACACACACACAGATGAACACACACACAAATGCACACACACACCCCCACACACACACAAACTCACACACAGCACACACTACAACACACCACGCAATCACACACAACACACTCACACACATACACACGCACACGCACAAACACACACACCAACACACACACACACACCAACACACACACACAAAGATTACACAGGTGCATACATATACACAAGTGCGCACAGACACACACACATAAACACACACACACACGTAATAACTTCGTATAGCACACATTATACGATGTTATGCGATGTGTGTGTGTGTGCGTTGTGTGTGTGTGCGTTGTGTGTGTGTGTGTTGCGTGTGAGTGTGTGTTAGTGTGCGTGTGTGTGTGAGTTTGTGTGTGTGTGTATTCTTGTGTGTGTGTGTATATGTGTGTGTGTGTTTGTATGTGTGTGTATGTATACGTGTGTGTATGTATGTATGTGCATACGTGTGTGCTTATGTGAACAAGTTTATGAGAGTATGTATGTTTATATGTGTGTGTATGTGTCTGTATGTGTGTGTATCGTATAACTTCGTATAAGTTTTTCTATATGAATTTGTTAGGGTTTGTGCGTGTGTGTGTATGCGTTCGTGCATGTGTGTTAGTGTTAGTGTTAGTGTGTTAGTGTGTGTGCGTGCGTGTGTGTGTTAGTGTTAGTGTGTGTGTGTGTGTAGTGTGTGTGTGTGTGTTAGTGTGAGTGTGCGTGCGTGCGTGCTGTGTGTTAGTGTTATGTGCGTGTGTGTGTTAGTGCGTGTGTGTGTGTGTGTGTGTGTGTGTGTGTGTGTGTGTGTGTGTGTGTGTGTGTGTGTGTGTGAGTGTGTATGCGTGGTGTGTGTGTGTGGTGTGTGTGTGTTGTGTGTGTGTGTGTGTGTGTGTGTGGTGTGTGTGGTGTGTGTGTGTGTTGTGTGTGAGTGTGTGTGTGTGAGTGTGTGTGTGTGTATGCGTGTGTGTGTATGCGTGTGTGTGTATGCGTGTGTTGTGTGTGTGTGTGGGTGTGTGGTGTGTGTGTGTGTGTGTGTGTGTGTGTGTGTGGTGTGTGTGTGTGTGTGTGTGTATGCTTGTGTATGTGTGTGAGTGTGATGTGTGTGGGTGTATGTGTGTGTGTGGTGTGTATGCGTGGTGTGTGTGTGTGTGTGTATGTATGCGTGTGTGTATGTGTGTATGCGTGTGTGTGTGTGTGTGTGTGTGTGTGTGTGTGTGTTGTGTGTGTGTGTGTGTGTGTGTGTGTGTGTGTTGTGTGTGTGCTGTGTCCCCATGTATGTGCTGTGTGTCCATGTGTGTGCTGTGTGTGTGTGTGTGTGTGTGGGTGTGTGTGTGTGTATGCTGTGTCCCCATGTGTGTGCTGTGTGTCCATGTGTGTGCTGTGTGTCCATGTGTGTGCTGTGTGTCCATGTATGTGCTGTGTATCCATGTGTGTATTGTTTCCCCATGTGTGTGCTTCTGTAGCTATTCTAAATTTTTATTTACTATTTATTTATCTGAAAGGAAGCTCCATCTCAGACTAGACATACTGATTACAATAACTTTTTTTCTTTTAATCTGTACTTCTGTAAAAGAACAAATCTTCCATAAATTAATGCATGCATACATATAGTATAATGTAAACAGTACATGGAATTGATAGAATGCTGAACCAATGTCCCAAACTAAAAATAAAGTACATTAATCTTAGTAACAGATGCATCAAGTGCCTGTCACAGCCTGTATTTTTCACCTTAACACAGTGGCAAAGGCCAACAAACCCTAAGCCCAGGGTATCAACTGGTTCCTTATCTCTTTACTAACAAAATACAAATTCTTGGTATAATGTCAATTATGAAAGGTATGTCGAAAGGTATGTCCCAATTTTAACCTATTTACTTACAGATTGTGCTTGGCCTGTTGATCCCATGTACTGTTTACCAAAACAGTAATTGCTACTACTGAATTCTTTTGAAATGTAGCTTATTCTGTGTATCTGTATATCAATCAATCCTTCTCACTTTAAAACATGCATTTGTTATCTTGTAAATTATGAGAATAAGGCCTTTACTTTGCTTACATAGACATATATGAGATTGCTGACATATAGAAATATAAATCAACTGTGCCAAAGGTCTGCTGCATGTATCTTACAGAATATCTTAGCTGTTACAAATGACAATTATACATTTATATTTTCTATGTTTACTGTTTTTCTCTACTGTACACTATTCATAGATCACAGGACTGTACAGTAACAGGACTGCTTCTAAGACTTTCATTTAGTCACATGCTAACCAGTAAATATAATCAGGAATAACATGGAACTTATGTAGCCGAAGAGGAAAGAATGGAAAGGACAAGGTAATTGCAATGAATGACTCTGCACAACCAAGTAGGGACATGAAAACAAACAATTACTATCTTATTAGAGCCAATGCACCAATCTTTGTAAGACGTTAATCCCCACGGCCTCCCATTACTGAGTACACTAGCAACAAATATCAGTCCAGGCTACCCCCATAAAAGTGAAATCATAAATAAACAAACATATCATTAACCTATGGCAAACTCTACATACCATTGTACCTAAACTTCCTGATATTTTCAATCTATTTTTATAAACTCTAATGGTTTCCTTTTCTAATTTCATGTTATTCCTCAAATCTCACTGAACTAGCAGGATTAAGCTCATTTAGAACATTATAGTTTTCATATCTGCAAACATTTCTGTAATTCTGCAATGAATATCCCCTAAGAATTTCCCTCTTCACTCTCAGTAATAAGCTAAACACACACAACAAACTCCAAAGATGAAAACAATGCAAGAAAACAATGAAGGAAAAACACTGCTATAAATCTGTGCATCTACCATTACACCTGCTTCAAGGACAGTGTGTAGAATTTGCCTAGTCAGCTGTTCCAAGGAAACAGGGACACTTCCCATTCACATTCCCCTGAACAATGAACAAACTCCAATGGGACGTGGAGAATAAGCCAGGAATTCCTCCAGCTGTTCCCACATTACACTCATGGTCCTCTTATGTACATACACTGTACTCTTAACAAAATCGTAAAGATCTTGCAGTCACCTGAAAAATGCATTATTCACCATAGGTATTGAAGACTTGGGTCCTCTGGCTGCGATATACTCAATAGCTGCCCCGTAAATTGCCATTCACTTGCCATAATGCATAACACTAGCTTGAGGGAAAACCTAGCAGGTTGATGTTGCATACACGTAAAAAAAATCGATGTTTTGCACAATAAATCTTATTGGAAATATTTACAACCATCCGCTCCTTCTTTTCAAATGGACTTCTCATCATTTTCGACAGCGATAATTCATTTGCGACATACTCGATGGTATAATGTAAATTTTGTGGTGACTTAAAGGAAGCTCAATAACAATGAAAACAAATGGTCACACAGGGACCAACTCACCATTATTTCGTCGATTTAACGGGTTTCCTCTCCTCACTATTTTCTTTTTAGTAATTTTCTTCTTTCTTAATTGTGATATGCGTGTTCTAAATGTTGGGTTTGACATGTTAGAGAAGAAATAAGGGCAAAATTTTACAAAGTTTAGACAAAGACCATGACTCCTCTCACTTCACTCTGCCAGCCACTGAGCCATTTTGTCCGCGGATATTATTGGTCGAGGCGGAAGCACCACTGACCAATGAGCGGCCGGGATTCGCAGGCGGAAGGGCGACCGACCAATCGGAGTCGAGAATTTAGTCACGTGACCTCCGTAAGAGAGCCCGAACGCGAAACTAATTATTGTAAAAATGGCAATTAAATGGGAATAACAATATAATTTGGGCAGATTCACGTGGAATATATTTTTACTAGATGAAACATATAAAAATCTCGACTCGTTACTCCCGTTCTGGAAGTTTCGTTTGTTTATGAATTAACATGCATTATTGGAACATAACCTTGATTACAGATATCAGATAATTTGCATTTCTCCAGACGATATGATCGATGTTTCTGCTTCTTTACTTTGCTCACATTTCTTCATATACAAGGCATACGAAGTCAGATGTACTAATAACAAAGATATATTCAGGAGTTAACATGTAAAAATTATTTTATTGATTAGCTTTCCTTCATAGTAAACAAAGGAGTGATTTCCTCCTCGTTAATACACGTCTTTTTCGACATGGAGGAAAATCATATAAAATCCTTTGGAGTTTAATAGAACCGTCGCTTCAATTTTTACTGTATGCATGTACGCTGCAGTTTTACAGAACACTAGTTTTATTATTCCCGAGGTAAAATAAAAGTTATAAATATTGCCATTCCTGGTAATTGAGAGGTGGGCGGGGCGGCCATCATCAGCTGTGGTTCCTCCACATGGTTCTTGCGAGGATAAAAAATAACAAAAACAGAGAAAGAAAAGGTATAGCACGATGGGGACAGTAGAGGGAGGATTAAAGCTCGTAAAGAAGAAATTAATGGAAGGACAATGGGAGATAACTCGAATTCCACGGGGTCGTAGAAAATCGCTTTCATTGCAAAAAAAGAATTAAGAGTATGTATGGATATTAGAAGAAAAAATAAAGAAGCGAGGTAAGAGGCAAAACAACCATTAACGTTATTGCCAAGAGAGGAGAGACAGGCAGGTAACAGGAAGCTCATGAGTAACGCAAGCGCTCCCGGGAGGAACGTTTTCAGGCTCGAGACTCGCGCCCAGGAACAACAACATTGCCACTATTTTGACCATTTTTGATGTTCCTCCAAAGATATTTTCAGAGGCAATACCAGCGGCTGACTGGGAAGGATCGCCACTTTAGAACGAGGACTTTTTGATCCGTAGATACTTCGTAAATCCGATGCAGAAGGCCGTCAAAGGTGTAAGTTTGCAAACAAATATTGCATTGTGTTTACATCTTGTGATTTGCAAGATGACAGAGGTCTTTACTTTGTCTTGGAGTCTGAATAGGTTTGGCGACACAATTTGCCTATTTTTGAAGATCTTTCATTTGTTTGAGGCATGTTGGTGTTTACAGGTTTGATTATATTAACAGTTTGTGTATTCATATGATTTTTCATCAAGGTAAACATTTCGTGTTTCTTGGCAGACTTCAATATGTTTTTGACACTGGGAAATAACAGATATACTCGGCATTTATGATTACCCATGGAATTTTTATTTTGTTAAATCAGTCATTTATTAACCACTGCTTGTACCATGGAAGTCAAAAGATTTCAGTAAGCCTGATTTTATGTATTCATAGATCTTGAATTCTCTGTTCCAGAAAATAACCAGAATAATAGCTATGTAATGTCAAATTGAAATGAATAGAATAAATATAGCATACAGAGGCATGAATATAGCTTTTGGTGAATATTGACAGAAGATTAAAATAGGGAGAGTATATTTGCAGAATACAGAGACCTCATATTGCAGGGTAAATGTGGAAGAGAATGAAATATATAAGGATTGTCAGTGAATAGTTTATTGTACAGGTCTGTTCTCTCCTTAACCCGCCCCCACCCCCCTCAAAGTTGGCAATCGATCCCTCCCTTCCAACCCTGCCCATGAAGGCTTAATATGTTTCATGCATAAATGGCAGAGAAGAGTTTAGGGTTGATCATAAGGAGGTGTACACACAAGCATGAGAGAGATGCGCTCCATCCTGCTGTGAAACTTCGGAGGATATTTGTGTTCCAGGTGGGGGTCAGGGACTAGTGGCTGCTGGCAATAGATGTTTAGGTGAAGGTCCATATATGCCGAGTTCCTTCACATTTTATCCTGCGGTTTCCCCGGTATAGTTCATACCCTCGTATACACTTGAGGGCCAGTCTTTGTGTGAATTCCCATAATTCACACAGTTAGGAGTGAAGGGAATCCATTGATGCCAATTTTCTAATGTTTAGGATGTGGTTTTATTCCAAATAATGAGAATATAAGTGATAAAAGTGGAAAATTATATTTACTTGTATCAAAAAAGAAGAAAAGAAAGCAAGAGACCTGTATAATTATATTTTCACTTTTTTTTTTTTTTCTTCTTTTTATCATCATATTCTTTGATTTCTGTTTTTGTTCTATGAGTGTTTGTTTCCTGTTATACTAAAGACAAATGCCATGTTGAATTGGTAGAATGTGATTAATATTATATGTGGAACAAAGAGCTTGCATTTACTTATTAAAATCAAATTAAAGATTTGTAAATGACAAAATATTTATTTTCTACTGGAAAATAAAATTGTCATTGATGATGATGATGATGTTGATGTTGATGTTGATGTTGATGATGTTGATGTTGATGATGTTGATGATGTTGATGTTGATGTTGATGATGTTGATGTTGATGTTGATGTTGATGATGTTGATGTTGATGTTGATGTTGATGATGATGATGTTGATGTTGATGTTGATGATGTTGATGTTGATGTTGATGATGATGATGTTGATGTTGATGTTGATGTTGATGATGATGAATGATGATGATGATGATGATGATGATGATGATGATGATGATGATGATGATGAATGATAATGATGATGATGATGATGATGAATGATAATAATGATGATGATGAATGATAATAATGATGATGATGATGAATGATGAATGATAATAATGATGATGATAATGAATTATGAATGAATAATAATGACAATGATGAATAATGATGATAATGATCATCATTATTATTCATCATCATCATCATTATTATTATTCATTCATCATCATCATCATTATTCATCATTCATCATCATCATTATTGTTATTATTATTCACTCATCATCATCATCATCATCTTCATCAGCCATCATTATCATCAGTCATCATCACAATTATTATCATTATTATTATTGTTGTTGATAATGATGATGAATGATGAATAATAATGATGATGATGATAATGATCATCATTATTATTCATCATTCATCATCATTATTATTATTCATTCATCATTATTCATCATTCATCATCATCATTATTCATCATTTATGATTATCATCATCATTATTCATAATTCATCATCATTATTCATCATTCATCATCATCATCATCATTATTCATCATCATCATTATTCATCATCATCATTATTCATCATTCATCATCATTATTATTATTATTCACTCATCATCATCATCAGCCATCATCATCATCATCATCATCATCATCATCAGTCATCATCATCATCAGCCATCATCATCATCAGTCATCATCATCATCATCAGTCATCATCACAATTATTATCATTATTATTATTATTATTATTATTATTTTTGTTGTTGTTGTTATTATTATTATTTGACTACTATTATTACTATTATTGTTATTATTATCATTATTTTTGGTTATTATTGTCATTGTCATTGTTGTGTTCTTCATATTATTATTATTATGATTATGATTATTATTATTTTATTATTATTATTATTACTTTTGTTGTTATCACTATTATTGTTGTTATTATTTTTTGTTGTTATTAATTGTCTTTATACTGATTATTATTAATCATTGTTAATATTTTTATTATTGTTAATATTGTTATTATTATTATTAGTATTATTGTTATTATTATTATTTTTATTATTATTGTTATTATTATTACTATTATTACTATCATCATCATCATTACCATTATTATTATTATCATCATCATCATTGTCATCATTATTATTATTATCATTATCATCATTATTATCATCATCATCATCATTATTATTATCATTACCATTACCATGACTATTGTCATCATTATCAACATCATTACCATTATTATCATCATTATTATCATCATCATTGTCATCATCATTATCATTGTCATTATCATTATTGCTATTGCTATTATGATGATGATGATGATGATGATGATGATGATGATGATGATTTTGTTTGTGTTATTATTGTTATTAATATTACTATTATTAGGAGCCTGTTTGTTAAAGAATGAGAATACCATTGTTATTATTTTCATGTTATTGTTTTGATTATTCTTATCTAATCATACTGCTTATCTCTGTTATCTGTGTGACCTATATCATTTTGTAATTGTTTTGGTTTGCTGTTAATTTAGCAGTATTATGTTTATTTGTATTACCATTATCAGTACCCCTGTCATTGTTACCCATATTATCATGGCATCATTACCATAATTCTTATGTCGTCTACATTCCCCGTTTTCATCATTATTACTCTAATACCCACTGTGGAAATGTGCCTAATCAGAGACGTATTTGGTGCACGCCATAACAGTCCAAGAAGTAATTTTTCTGGAAGCTTCCTTATGCCTTCTCTAGTGTCAGATGTCGCTTATTACCAGTTCCTTATAAAGTTCTTTAATAAGATTTTATGTGTATATTATAAATGCAGTATGATTTTTTAAGATTTTCTCCCGTTCCTTCCAGGGTGACGCTCCATCATGGCCGACCTAGAGGAGACTTGGACTGAGAGAAATTTTTACGACCGTCCTCTCTCTGTGTGGCTGCAGGATGAGTACGGGGATGAGGACTTTCTTCTTCTTGACATCTTCACAGCAGCCAGTATTGGGTGTTCTCAGCGCGTGGGAGATATTATTAAAAAGTGAATATGTATACACATTTTATGCATGGTATAGCTTTGTATTGTGTAGGCCTAGATGATAAATTTGATATGTAGCTGCTGATATTGATCTGTGTTTATAGACTTAAAAAAAAAAAAGGAAATACATGCACCTGTGTGTGCGTGTGCATGTGTGTAATCGTGCGTGTGTGCGTGCGTGTGTGCGCGCGTGTGTGTTTGTGTGTTTTTATATCCATATATACGTATATATATGTACAGTATGTATGTATATGGAAGCAAATGCACACATATAAGCATATGGATGGTACACATGCATAAATATATAAATATCAATATATATCTCCATTTGTTTTAAGCATAGAAAAATACATTTAGTTATGAAATGAAAGACAGTAACTGTAAGAAATTTTTTTTTTTCCTATACCACTATGCTTACAAATAGAAAATTACTTTATACACAAAGTGCTTGATTACAAAGTGATTCGAGGATGATTCAAGTCGATATTGAACACAACCTTTATTACCTATGACATGTAGTAGATAAAAACTATATTTAAAGCCTGAATTGGTATTGTCATTAGTAAAGCATTTTTTTATTTTCTTATGTACAGGGACAAAAAAGCTGTTGGTTATAAAAACAAGGGAGGATGGACAGCCTTGATGTATGCATCTTATTATGACCACTCGGATGTAGTAAAGCTGCTGTTAGAAGCTAATGCATCGGTTCACTTGACCAACAACGCCAGGTGTAATGCTCTGATGTTAGCTGTCATGTGTGGCAATGAATCCATAGTAGAAACTTTAATAAAGGTTAGTGTTACATATCATTATTATAATTATATATTTTATATATTTGTTTGTTTTTTACATGAAGATTTGTTTATGAATATATATTTATTTGTTTTTCTTCAGATTCTTGAAGTTTTTTTTTTTCATTTCGGCTTCACCAAAGCAAATTCAGAAGACCAGTATGCTCAAGAATCCATATAATTTGAGATCTAAAGAAGCCACCAAAATTTGTACTTGTGTGGCTTGGTGGTCAAGACAGATTCGCAATCTACTCCAATGTGATGGGCAATCATTATCCTTATTGAGAATTTTTTAATATATGTGTGATTGGAGCATCAAACTAATGGTATATCCTTTTAATTCAAAATTGTTCTCTCTGATTTACAGAAATAAGCATGCTTTCATTTATTATTGAAGAATTACCTTTTTTTAGTTGAAGAAATAGGGAGAAAACTATGAGGGTATTAAGTATTAACTTATGTATGCCATAGACTTGCAACTTATACAAGTTAAGGGGATATTGAACAAAAATGTAATCTTCAGTAATAGAGGCGCTCACTCAGAAATGATACATTTTCAGGCTGGTAGCATCTTAGAAGCACGAGATAACTGGGACTGGACAGCACTCTTTCATGCAGTAAATTCAGGCCATCATAGTGTGGTTGACACCCTCCTGAGACATAAAGCAAATCCTAATTCTTGGTAAGATATAATTACAATGTTTGGATATGGTTGTCAGACCTGTGTATACTGAAACATTAAGAGATCTTAATCTTCGTAATTGTTGTGAGTAGAAGGGAAATCATAATGATGGCAATATTACTCTGTATATTTGGACAAATGTATCAATAGAGAGGAGGTTTGCCTTAAGTTTAACCTAAACGATAATTTGTGGCAACCATTTCTTTATTAAGAAATTTTGTACATAGTAATTTTCATCTCAATGACATAACATTCTGTAAATTTTCTTTGTTGGCTGTAATGCTCATTTCCCTGTTATGATATGTTTCCAGTAATAGGGAATATCCACGAACTTATTAGTTATCAAGTTCCAGTAAACTATAGCTTAGTACATATATTAGGTTGTATGTATCTCTATTCTCTTGTTCAATATTATATATTTTCCTTGTGAAAATGTGAAAAACAGCGAGCTAGTGCATACACTGTTTCTCGTTTAAACTTAATAACAAATTTCTGCATATAGCTGCTAAATTGAACTTTATAGATAGTGTGAGCTACATGCCAGACAGTATCCATCAACTTACACATGAGAACAGTGGGTAAAAAATAAAGAAGTAATAACATAAAAACATTGTAATTTCCTAGACCTCTACATTAAGTAAAAAAGGAGATTTGATTACATTCTTTCTCATGTTTGTCAAGGATGCCTAAATGGGAATAAATATCATGATATCAACACAAATCTCTTGCAGAAACACGTTAAAACCTTTAAAAAACTGATAAGTAATAATGACATTTCAGGAATGAGAAATTGTGGTTTTCATATAATTTTATATATTGCTGCTTACAAGCTTGCTTTATGAAGTGAAGTTGGGCTTAAATCTGATTGATGTTTTAAGATTTAGTGAGGCAAAAATATTTACTTCAGTTTATTCAATTTTATATATATATATATATATATATATATATATATATATATATATATATATATATATATATATATATATATATATATATATATATATATATAGTATATTTATTTTATTGCTGTAATAAAAGGATTTGACCATGTTAGGTATCCAGGAAGTTATGATGAAAATTCAAAGCTTGCTAGTAGGAAAGTTATTTAGCTATGTTGTGTTTAAATGTACAGGATTAGCTTTGTTTTGTTTATACATATAAAGATTAGTATTGTATAATATATTTTAAGCTAAAGGGAGAATATTTATACACTAATTAAATTTTTCTTTCACAAAAAAGTTTCAAAATGTCTGAAGTAATGCTAGGTTGGCTGAGATTAACAGTAATTCAATATACATAGATTTGTTGAGCAAAGTTCATGAGTTCCAAAATTATATAGATGTGTCAGAAGTTATCCTGAACTATGGATGATTTTGGACATCCATTCTACCTTCAGTAGCACTCACAGGACCACTGCTAATTTTTCCAAAACCCTTCCTCCTTACCATTGGATAGTACAATTCTATTCCATTTCTTGCCAATAAATTTTCCACAAATTGTCCTAAACTAGCCCATTTTGTGGTATTTTTCAAGAAGGCTTGAAAAATAAAACATTTTGAAAATTATCAAAAGAAGTAGTTATTTCTTGGTGAAACTAAAAGTTTGACAGGATCTTTTGACCTTCTGTCTTTCTTGTTACTCAGGCTAATTACTTGTAGAGTCACTTATCTCAAATTGGGTAATGCTGTTGTGAAAAGAATTTACCTGTGAGTGGTAAGATGCTATTGTTTGTCATGTTACGTGACTTCATGAACTATCTTAGTCATACTGTTTTAGGACAATAGATAACCTTGCAAGATATATGACAGTCAGTAGATATATACAAATAATTGTACATGCTCATGTGTTCTGCTCTTTATTTTAGCGAGCGAAGGACTGGCATGACTCCCCTGATGTATGGAGCGCAACACGGGAACAGCAGTATAGTCATGACGTTACTAAAAGGTGGTGCTTTAGTCTCTCTCACAACACATCAAGGACACACAGCTGCCAGGATTGCTCAAGATGCTGATTATCCTGCTATTGCTGCAATTATCACAAAATGGGGTCTACAAGGTATTTTTAAGATGGAGTAGATAAATCATAGATTAGTTGATTTTAGTTATGGGGAGATAACTATATTGATTAACTTTATGTTAATAGCACACATTATTGCATTCTACTGATATGGATAACTTAGTATAGTAAAGGTTATTAAAGAAAATTTTCATGGATTAAATTCAAAATTTCAATATGTTGTAATGCTTAACCTCCATTGAACATCAAAGTTCAAAGCTGCTTGTGGATAAAGCTGTAAAACTAATAGTTTAAATGGGCTTTTCACAAGACCCTGTGCACAACACATACCCAAGGACAGCTTTACTATATTTTATACTTTAAGGCTTAGCTTCTTCAGTGGCTAAATGTCAGACTGTATCCCTCTTAGCAGGGCTTTTCAAATGATATTTTTCATATCCTGAATTACATTTTCTCATTTTGGTATCTTTGCATATCAACAACACAGCTTGTTTGTTTGTAATTTATATTTAGTCTCTTTTGCTGTGATTAAAAAAAGGTAGACAGTTTTTTCTTGTAATAATGCTGTAATACTGAATACTTGCAAAATAAGCAATCTTTGATTTAGGGGTTATTATATCTGGTTATATGCAAAATATAATCAATATTACTCATAACATATTCAAGAGATTCTATATTTAGTTTATTCATGCTTCTAGGTGAGAATGGACCAAGCCTACCAGATGGTCCAGCAGCAGTTGAAGCACGTTTGTCACAGCAGGCTCAACTGCCACCTCGTGGTAGAGGAAATGTAGTTCCATCTGTTGACAGTGGTAAGTCATTTTTGGAAAGATTGTGAAGAGTAGTTTATGAAAGATGATATTTGACATACAGAGTGGGAGTGATTGATCTATATGAAATTTATTTTATGTAGTAACCTACATGCATTATCACAACTGTATTTGTGTCAAAATGCTACCTCTGTTGGCACTTCAAATTTTGGAGACATAAAAAGGATTATATCTTAACCCCTTTGATCCGGATGACTTGACCATCATGTTATAAAAAAATTTGGCTCGAGGGCGGTGATGTGAAAATTTCGATTGAAAGTTGGGGTTCCAGGGAAAACGCTGTTTCCATGTTAAGCATCCTATTCATGGCCACTATGAGGGTAGTGCAGTTTGTATTACAGAAAATTGAATATTACAAAAATAGAAAGACTTACACAAATAACAAAATGTTACATAATTTTTTAATTTCTTGCACTGAGTTATGAACTACCTAGAGAGAAGACATGGAGTCTGTACAAGGAATACAGTGTATTACTATCTGGATAAAGTAAATAAAATTGACAAATATGGACATTGGAAAATGGCAAAAAAGCTAAAAATGCTTATGCATAAAGATAGAATGTAACATTACAATGGGGAGGCATAGAGCCTTGTCACAGCACATGGTTGTTTGCATTAGCCCGGCCAACAAGTCGCACACCCATCAGAAAGCCTAATGCCCATATTTTGGGCAATGTGATTGCCATGAAGCAACTGGATCCAAAGGATTAATAATTAGAAAGAAATTGCAGTTGCAGAGAACAGATGTGAATAGGCAATTGTTTTTTTTCCTTCTCTGAAATCAGTATCATATTTCTGTACAGCACGTGTCATCCCCACGGATCTTGAAACTTTGTTGAACCAGATTGGTTTAGGCTCATACATGAGTGTCTTCAAAGAACAAGATGTGGATCTTCAGATGTTCCTTACATTAACAGATCAGGAATTGAAAGAATGTGGCATACAGTAAGTTCTTGCAGTATTTGCTGAATTTTTTTTATCTTCTTTTATAAGCCTCTCAAAGTGAAATATTTTATTGAAATTAGGTATACAACCTTTCACACCATTGACTGGTAGTAGGAAGTGCTGTGCATCATTCTGCTCCCTGTATGCAGTGAGGATTTTATTTGATTTTCTGTTAATAGTTTCTTTGGACTTGATTACAGCAAACTGGGACCTCGACGCAAGATGACCTCAGCCATTGCACGATGGCACAGCAATGCACCATTGTGGAACTCTTTGGAATGTGCCTATGCAGATAAGCTTGAAGTTGAGATGCAAGAGCTGGGTGTAAAGCTAACTGAAGCCATGGAGACTATACAACAAACAAAAGCCCAGGTTAGATTTTCATATATACCTTTATCAGTTTTGTTTGTTCAAGTATACTGATCATGCTTTATCACATCTTCACTAAAGGTTGGTTTATATAAAGTCATTATTTTATAATACAGAGAATTGTCTAATTTGAAATTAGTATTATTTATATTCATTTTGACTTGTATGATATCACATTTGATTTTAAGGACAGGGGTTTTGTAATATCTGGAAAAGGAAATCATTTGTATTTCTTGAAAATGGAGTATAAAAAACACAGTATTGCGAGTGGTATACTTTTATCCAAGTGCACAATTTGCAGTACTTGAATTAACTAGCAGAACAAGATTTTCTTTTTTCATTAATATAAAATTCACTGGAAAAGTTTACACACGTTTTTCTATGTAGTGGCTAAAGTTACATAGTAGTAATAAAGAAGACATAGCAAGGAAGAATACGAAGACAAGATGATGACATAACAAATGATATCTACAATAGTGTATTGTAGGCAGTTCTGTATTTTTTAACTTCTTCATCTTCCTCTTTTCTTTTTCTTCTTCTTTTTCATGATCTTCTTGTTTCTTCTTCTTCGTCTTCTCCTTCTAATTCTCCTTCTTCCACGTCTTCTTCTTCTTCTTTGTCTTCTTTTTTCTCATCTTCTTCATCTTCCTCCTCTTCTTGTGATTCCTCTTCTTCTTCTTCTTCCTCTTTTTCTTCAATTCTTCTTGTTCTTTTCTTAGTCATCTTCTTTTACTATATAGTATCCCATGACGGAGAACAGTATATTCCTTGTAGATCTCAGGAATCCAAATTTTATTGCTAATATTGGAGTATTGAGGATATTTCCTACTTATGGAGAATATCCCAACATCATTGTCATCGTCATCGTCGTCATCATCATCATCATCATCATCATCATCATCATCACCATCATTGCCATCCGTCATCGCCATCCATAGATCCTTTGTTTGTACCCCTGAAATATACCTGAATTAGTTGATGAGTAATAAAATTAAGGAACTGGAAAAAATATTTGTGTAAGATTTTTTCATTTCATTATTATTATTATTTATTTATTTATTTTATTTTTCCAGGTTTATCAAGAACATAATTTAAGAGTTGTGACAGAGGGGTGGATAGTTGAAGCTCGTGGAAGGCTACATGATTGCCACCAAAGATGCCAAATGCTGCTTGAACAGATGTCAGTCATGCGGCACTGTGCCTCGGTCCTATCAGCCCAGTTCTCCCTCATTCAGCCGACTCTCATTTCTCCTTTAGTCGAGAGCATCGGTGTAGCTACAGCACACATTGATGCTCTTTTGAAGCTGACAGATCCAAGTGTTGCAAGGGGCCCCAGCAACCCCTCCTCTCCTCGCAGAAATGGGCATCAGGGTAGCTACCCAAATACCCCTCGCTGATGGTGCAATACAATCAGTTGTCAGGCTAGTCAGAAATAGTTAAATTTTAATTGTCAGAACTTAATCTCAAGGCATATGTGTATGGAGCTGCATTTTTAATTTTTAAAAATTAGTAATGCTTATCTTTGTGTAAAGATACTGTTACAATAGACAAAATATTGAGACATCCATTCAAGCTATTTCAAAGTTTTATGATATTGTTTTTTGGGTGATTCACTTCGTTTTAAGTAAAGGATGTTGAAGATTCGAAAAGAAAGTCAAGAGAATTAGTGAAATTTGACATCTAACTTATTGACAAGACAGTTCCTTGAAAAGTTAAATGAACCTGAAGTACCACACTGCCAAAATAATGTGTACCTGTTAATAGTGTAATACTGCTAGTGTATCAGCAATGATTAGATGTTCTATTACTATTTTAGATAATTGATTATTTTGATAATCACTGAAGGGACCAAAGAGTTATGACAATTTTGTAATTCCAACTGTGAACAGGGGGACAGTGACTTTATCTTGTGATTTTATACACTTCAACAGGGGTGTTGAGTTTAACCACTCAGAACTGTGAGATTGATAATTAAATTGATAAAAGTGTGTTTGTGCGTGTGCGTGTGCATGTTTGTGTACGTACGTGCGGGCATGTGGGCGTGTGTGCGTGTTCATCTGCTGTGTGGCTGTGTGCGTGTGTGTTATATTTAAGTACCAATTTAAATATATATATTAATATACATATTCATATACATATACATACACATATATACATATACATTTATACATATACGTATACATATACATATATACATATACATATACATATACATATAAACATGCACATACACATATATGCATATATACCACATGTAATTATGTTTCACAGTGCCAGTACTTATTTTTGCTGTGGAAATTGTTATTATTTCCAATTATGACAGTGAGCCTGCTAGTAATACTGTAATCTAAACGATGTTTAAAATTTTAGTTCAGTATATCATATGCCTGCAATGAAATAATGTGTATAGTAAAATCATCTGGGCCATATACAAAACTGAAGTGCAATTATCTGTGCAATATTATTTGACTGAGTATAAACAATATAACAGTATATTTAAGTCTCAGTAAGGTGCTAATAGTAGTAATGTAAGGAATGCTCTTGTCATTTTCTCTGCATACTGGTATCTCAGCTTAAGAATAAGTATTGAGAATTTTGATTGAGATTTTATGTTCTTCAAAGAAGATCTGTTGCCGATAGGAATATCTGTAATAAATATTGTCTGGAGACTATCATGATGTTACTGTTGGCTCTAGATTATTCTCAGGTGTAGTGAAAAATATATAGAAAAAATTGTATTTTTTAAAACTAAAGTGTGAAGCTAGAATTAATGAGATATTTTACCATGACTGTGACTTTCAAGTGCCTTCTAAGTGGTCTTATTCTTTAAGAATATATAAATACATTTAATGTAACATTTTTGATTTGAATAAATAGCTGATCTTTTCTTAAACTGCGTTTTTTTTTTTTTTTTTTTTTTTACTGTGATTCTGTCTAAAATGTAATTAAAAGTATAGCACTATTGTTAATGACCTACATCAGTAGTTTTACTTTGTTACAGACCCCACCAATCCCTTGTCTGTTGTTTGTGGTAGGGCTTAGGAGACAGAGACTGAGGTCCAAAGCCAGGGATCACCCTCACCTTGGGCCTCTGCCCTCCATAATTAATTTTGCACTGTCTTCTTTTCTTCCTCTTTCTTTTTCCTTCTCTTCTCCAACTCCTTCTAGTATCCATTTCCTAAAGTGAGAGAGCCATGCTAGAAGGATGAAAGGTTGGCTTTGTGCCAGTCATGAATTACCTAGGGGAGCCATGAACATGGTATTCCCATTTAGCTGTGTAGCCTTGCCCATCAAGATCACCATGAAGGGTGGACCATATCTCTCCCCAACATACTCCAGGCATACCATGGCCAGTAATGAGGATTTTGTACCCCTATGAGGGGCAATGAGTCTTGCCCCTTTATCAACTAGCCCAACTGATTTTAATTCCCACAGTACCATGATCCCAGGTTCTCCTTTGACCACGACTCTGAACACTACTACTACCCCCTCCTTGACGCCTACTATCACCTCAATCCAGTACAGATCATCCACACTGGGGCTGGATTCTCAAAAGAGACTTAAGTTAAGGCGTGCTGGAGGCCTTAACCATCCTGCTGTATTTCCCTTATATGAGAGCGAAGTGTTGATTTCCCGCCTGCTGTAAAGCGCTAAAGACTGCTCTTCCCCTGTACGTTAAGGCGTCTTAAGGAGATACGGCGCCTTAATGTATTTGAGAATCCAGCTCCAGGTCATTACTCAATTTCTTTGAAATATTCCTCCTCTCTGCTTCATCATCTAGTACCCCTTATTCCCTTATTACCACTATTACTCTGACAACACTCCTCTTCCAACAATGCCTCTAAAGATAAGTAGGTAAAGTTTCTTTCCACAGCCACCCCGATTGTTCCCACCATGTCACAGTTACATCTGAATCCCACGCTAAAGCATGATCAACCCTGATTGACTTCACTAGCAAAGCCATTCCTGCCCAGCTTCATCCCTCCATCAATTCTCCATATCCCTTACAAACTGCCCGGTCTACAACAAGAATTGGTCAGATTGTGCAGAAGACCTACTTACCTGCTTTGTGGACTATGATGCAGTATCAGTATAATACTACATAATTCCTCTTAGAGGCCACCATAAGTCCTCCACCAATATTGCCAAGATTAACTATTTTGCAGCCATACACGTGTGGTGGCTCCCATAATGTATTTTATAGGGACTGAACTATGTATGAGTTGAAGTCTGAGGTGGTACCTCAGATTCAAACTTGGCATTATTTTATGCAAGGCCAGGAAGGAAGCACATTGACGAGGTTTTTCTCTCACTCTGTCCTTTGTTCTCGAGATTTTTTTACCTCAACCCCCCTGTATCTATTTTTCCTACATTTTACATTTCTACTTCTGCCCTCTTCCTCACCCAATCAAATTCTTTTGCAATTCTAAATCCAGATGCCCTATTCTCTAGCACTGCCCCCAACACCTATGCCTCTCATTCTCACTCTTGCCATAGCAGAAAATCTAAATGTTCCTCTCCAACTTTTCCTACCACACCCTCTCCTCTATAAGAAAACTTGTTTCTCAGACTTCCATGACCAAATTCACTACAGAAAATCTCGAAGACATTCAAAACTATATTATCATGACAAGATAACATGCCAACACCTCATTCATCTTCAAATCTCTTTGCTCCCATTCTGTCTATCCTCAAAGTAACTGCCGACATCTATCTTCCTCCTGTTCATGTTCCCCCTACACCCTTTCCTGCCACTCCCTCCCAACAAATCCAGTTCCTCCCTGCTTCATTTTCATCCCCTCTTCCTTCCCTATTATCTCTTCCGCTTCCCCCTGGATACAGATTTGACTGTTATAACAACCTCTTCTGTGGATTTTCTTCCTCCTGACATTTCTTCAGAAACTGTGATGTTTCTCCTTTTGCTAATCCGTATCTTACTCTACATACATCCTTGCAGAATCCCACACTTCTTCCTTTGACAACTTTGATCTAATCACCCTTGTTAATCGCTACCTTAGCCCTTTTACTAATCCTCTCAATCCCTACCCCTTTTTGCCCCCTTTCAATGCCATACTATCTTGAACTGCTCTAAGACTTTTGACATGTAGCACATTTAATCATCAACTAATCACTATCTTTAAACTTTTCACTACTACACCTTTCTATAGTTCTATATGACCTTTGATGTCTAACGCATTTATTTTGATTTGTAAGCATTTGTTACAGACTGGAATCCTCTCATTTCTCCAGATATTGTATAGTTTTGCCAACCGTTCTCTTAATTTCATCACATATTGAAATGTGTTATTAGTTTTTAGTACTTCTCCACCAACTAAGATTTTATTGGATGCTCTTGCTGTTCCTCCTTGCTTATGTATATAGGTCACCATATGTTTGATCTTTTTCTGGGATGATTTTTATTCCGTATCAGCTACCCATCTCGTACAGTGTATGCCAAAACTGAACTGGCATTGTGCAGTTAGTGCAGTCACAGATACTAAACAATCTGAAGAACTTTAAACGGCACTAGCAGCCAAAGTTGCTCCCTATACAAGCATTGATTAATCTTTTGAAATTATGCTCTCTCACCCCTGGATGAGAAAGAATAAAATTAGCATTTGGCCGTAAAATTAAAAGGGGTTGTTTGTAGCACGAAGATAACACAATTGGTCTGCATTTAAAGAAAATAAGGATAGCTTCTCAACCAAGGCTGTGAGAAGAATGGGTGATATAATATGTGTCATACAGATTCAAAAATTTCTTCCCATATATGTAAAAAAATGCACTTTTAAGACTAATAACCATATGCATGAAGAAAGTGAAGGATACTTTAGTTAGAAAGAGAGAGTGAGTGAATGATTGATTGATTGAGTGTGCATGAGTGTGTGTGTGCATGTGTGTGCGTGCGTGTGTGTGCATGTGTATGTGTATGCATGTGTGTATGTGCATGTGTATGCATGCGTGTGTATGGGTGTACATTGTGTGTGTATGTGCATGTGTATGCGTGTGCGTATATGTGTGTGTGTGTGGGGGGTGCATGTGGTGTACACTAACATGTATTTATATATGTTATCGTATATAGCCATATTGTAAATGTGTCTGTGTGCATGCTTGTGTTTGTGTGCATGTATGTGCTTGTACGCATGTGTGCATGTATGTGTGTGCGCTTGTATGTGTACGTGCATGTTACGTACAATGAGTGTGTTCGTGTTTGTGTATGTTGTGTGTGTGTGTGTGTGTGTGTGTGTGTGTGTGTGTGGTGTGTGTGTGTGTGTGGTGTGTGTGTGTGTGTGTGTGTGTGTGTGTGTGTGTGTGTGTGCGCGCGCCGCGCGCGTGTGGTTTGTAAACTACATGTATTATATATGTATATGTATATATGCATATATGAATGTGTGTATGTATGCGCGCGTGTGTATGTGTGTGTGTGCGTGTGGGTTTGTAAACTACATGTATTTATATAAGTATATGTATATAGGCATATATGAATGTGTGTATGTCTGCGCGCGTGTGTATGTGTGTGTGTGCGTGTGAGTGTGCGTGCGTATACATGTGTGTGCGTGTGAGTGTGTGTGCGTGTGAGTGTGCGTGCGTATACATGTGTGTATGCATACGTAAGTGTGTGTATGCATGTGTATGCGTATGTGTGCGTGTGCATGTGTGTGTGTGTAACGAGGCCGCATTACAGTCAGAGTGCAGACAATTGCGTCTGGCAGGAACAGGTGATCTTGGTAGTGGTGAAGGGACAGCTGACGTCTTGGTAACTTATAGCAAGTTTATCAGGCTGCAGAGATACAGTTGGTGTACAGAGGTTCGGTCCGACCAGGTTGCTATGGGCTGTCTGACTGTCGCACGCAGGAGAATCACTTTACACAGATCTGATCGAGAAGTTGGTAAGGTAATCGCGCCATATAAGGAGCGGAAGGAGAGAGAGAAAGAATGTTTGTGTAAACACTGTGACGTCACAAGGTGGTAGGCCTACGGAATGTTGCATCCGGTGATATTTTGGGCGGAAGGCTTGGTACGTGTGGACTAGTATAATTGTATAGGGTGT